CCGAGGGGGAGCGGAAGCGGAGCAGCGGCCCCAAGAAGGAGAAGTCGGTGCTGCAGGGCAAACTGACCAAGCTGGCCGTGCAGATCGGCAAGGCAGGTGGGCGGCCCGGACGCCTGGGTCCCCGGGGTGAGTGGGGAGGCGAGACCTTTTCGGTGGAGGGTTTCCCCAAGCCCCCCGGATGCCTGGGACTTTCGTGGGAGGTCCCGTGGGCACCTGAGACCCTTCGTGGGGGGATCTGCTGGTGCTTCGTGGAGGGGGCGCCGGGTTCCCCAGACGCCTGGGCCCCCGGCAGGTGCTTGAGGGCATGCTGTGCGGCAGGGCTGGTGATGTCAGCGGTGACGGTGATCATCCTGGTGCTGTACTTTGTCATCGAGACCTTCGTGGTGGAGGGCCGGGCCTGGCTGGCCGAGTGTACCCCCGTCTACGTCCAGTACTGGGTCAAGTTCTTCATCATCGGCGTCACCGTCCTCGTGGTGGCCGTCCCCGAAGGGCTGCCGCTGGCCGTCACCATCTCCCTTGCCTACTCCGTCAAGGTCAGTCCCCGCCGACCCCCGTCCCATCCCACCGCCCGTCCCCTGCCGTCCGTCTGGTCCTCCGTCTATTCCCCTGTCCTCTGAGCTCATCCATCCGTCCATCTCTCCATCCCTCCATCTGCTCCTTCTCTGGGTTCATCTGTCCATCCATTTTCTCCATTCCTCTGACTGTCCATCCATCTATTTCTCCATCCTTTTTTCTGTCCTCCCAGCTCGTCTGTCCATCCAGCTGTCCATTTATTTCTCCGTCCTTTTGTCCATCCTCTGAGCTTGTCTGTCCATCCATCTGTTCCTCCATCCCTATACTCTCCATCTGCCTACTCCTCTGTCCTTCCGTCCGCCTCTCCACAGCTTGCCTGTCCATCCATGTGTTCCTCTATCCCTCTGTTTCTCCATCTCTCCGTCTGTCCTCCGAGCTTGTCTCTCTGTCCGTCCAGCCCTCTGTCCGTTCTCCAGGCTCCTCTGTCCCTCCATCCGTCCCTCCTCTCCGAGCTCCTCTGCCTCTCCCTCCCTCCGTCAGCCCCAGCGCCGTGTCCCCACATGCCCCGTCCATCCCTCCATCCCGGGACGGAGCCAGGTGGCCCCTCCCAGTTCCTCCCAGTCCTCCCCAGTGCCATGACTCCTGTGTGTGTGTCCCCTCCCTTTCCCCCTCCAACCGACCCCCCGACCCCCATACCCGTCGCCATCGAGAGCACCAGCACCCAGATCCTGGGTGGGGGTGGCCTGGAGACAGCTGGGGGGGCCTGGAAACACACAAAGTGAGGGCTTGAGACCCCTCCGGGGGCTTTGAGACTCTTGGATGGGCTTGAGACCCCTAGGGGCAGTGATACCCCTCTGGGTGGCCCTTGAGACCCTCAGGAGCCTTTTGAGACCCCGGGGGGGGGGCGTCGGCTGGGGCCACCCCGCCCCAGCCACAGGTGTCGACTGGGGCCTTGCGGGGCCGTTGAGACCCCTCAGAGACCCTTGGGGGCAGCTTGGGACCCTTGAGGTGAGCCTTGAGACCCATGCGAGGCATTGGTGCCCCGAAGGGACACTTGATACCACTTGGGGAGGCCCTTCAGACCCCTCAGAAGCTCTTGAGACCCCTTGGATGGCCCTTGAGACCCCTCCAAGGGCTCTTGAGACCCGTTGGAGGAGTTGATACCCCTCTGGGTGGGCCTTGAGACCTCTTGGGTGGCCCTCTGGACCCCTCAGAGGGCCCTTGAGACTCCTTGGGCTGGTTTATACCCCTCTGGGTGGCCCTTGAGACCCCTCAGAGGGCCCTTGAGACTCCTTGGGGGTCTGTAGACATCTTTGATACCCCTTGTGGGGCCCTTGAGAACTTTGGGGAAGCTCTGAGACCCTTTGGGGGACCCTTAT